TATATATATATATATACTGAAAAAATCTATAAAATACTATGTATAACACCCAATTTTTGTTTAAAAATTTAAATGAGATTGATATGTGTTTGACTGGTCATACACATATGCATAGAAAAATTTCTGGAAGTATACAACAAAGTACTTAGCATTATTTTTTTCGTGCTAGGTGGTATTAGCAGATTAAAAAAATTTTTTATTCTATATTTGTTTATTTTTAATTGTTGTGAAATACATATAACCTAAAATTTACCATCTTATCCATTTTTAAGTGTTCAGTTTAGTAGTGTTATGTACCTTCACGTGGTTGTGCAACCAAATACAGAACTCTTTACAAAACTGAAACTACACCCATTAAACAACTACCTATTCCCTCTTCCCCCAGCCTCTGGCAACTACCATTCTATTTTCTGTTTCTATGGATATGACTATTCTACATACCTGATATAAGTGGAATGATACAGTATTTGTCTTTTTGTGATTGGCTTATCTCACTTAGCATAAGGCCTTCAAGATTCATTCATGTTGTAGCAAGTGTAAGGATGTCTTCCTTTTTAAGGCTCGATAATATTCCATTGTATGTATAAACCACATTTGGTTTATCCATTTATCTGTCAATGGACACTTGAGTTGCTTCCGCATTTTGGCTATTGTGGATGATGCTGCTTTGAACATGGGTGTGCGCATATATCTCTTTGAGACCCTGATTTCAGTTCTTTTAGGCCTATGCCTAGAAATGGAATTGCTGGATCATATGGTACCTTTGTTTTTATTTTTTAAGGAACTACCGCACTCTTCTCCATAGCGGCCGCCCACTTTTACAAACCACCACCAGTGCACCAGGGTTTCAGTTCCCCTGCAGCCTCCCCAGCACTTGTTTTCTGTTTTTTGTTAATAGACATCCTAGTGTGCTTGAGGTGGTTCCCTGTTATTTATTTTTGATAAGTGTTGCTATTACTTTTTATATTGAGTGAACGATAAAGATATTTCCATTTTGTAAAAATGGAATGAATTAACAACTTTTTATTTTTCAGTATTTATAATGTTTTCTATAACAGCAGGTACTGCCTTTATTTCAGATGCAGTAATAAATTGTTGGGATATTAGGGTTGTTAGGATAAATGAGAAGCTTGATGCTGAAGGCTGTTTTGAAGTTGTAGTAAGGCACTGTGAATATCATAGTAAACATCTTCATTGTTTTTCAGCACTCGAAGTTGGAAACCCAAGACTTAACAGTCTTAAATGTTAACCACTAATTTTTTGATGGAATATTTTTGCTCAGCCTTTATTGACTAATTAAACTTATGTTTACCAGTGTCTTTTTAAAAAACAACCTGACTTGAGGTGTAATTTACCATAAAATTAATCTGCTTTAAGTGTAAAATTCAGTGATTTTTAGTGAAGTACTGGGTTGTGCAGCTATCACCATAATCCAGTTTAGAACATTCCTATTGCCCCAGTGAGATCCCTTGTGACCAGGACCTTTCTTGACTCTATAGAATTTATGGCAAAAGATTTCTTATAACAGGGCTGTATTTATTGCTTCTCTTCTATCTACTGTACCTCCTCTGTGAAATATACACAAATAGTCAAATAGTGTATATTTTATTTGGGGGACTGTATAGTGATGCTTCTGAAGTGTGTTTGCATTTGCACAGCTTTTAGCAAGGAAGATCTCGCATCAGAGAGAAAATTCTTTCATGTTTATTTTAGAGAGTCCCAATTAAACACTTTGCAGTTTGACTTTAGTTTTTGATCTTTTACAGCTGGTTTATTTTTAGCAGATCATAGTAGCAAAGATTGACAAGCCCTTTCAATTATTTGATGCATATAAATATCAAAACCTTCCTAGGCAGGTCACGCTCATAGATAATTAAAATGAAAAAGAACTAAATAGATAGAACAGTTTATCATTAATAGAGTAATAAATGCAGTTGTAGGCAAAATTGGTATTTTTCTTCTAACTCACCAGAGGGCACTATTTTCTAGTTTATTACTTTTAACTCTGATCTTTTGACATATTATATTCTACTTTGGAAAATTTAAGTCCTTTATTGGGATCCAGATTTGGATCAATTGGAGACTAATGACTGTTTACTATTGCAACTTTCAATTTTTTTGTGACCTGTTTTATAATAGTGTCATTAAAAAAGGATTCTACAAATAAGCCAATCTTAAATGCTTTAGGCGATAGTGTATCTGGCGTAAAATATCTCTTCAGTTTTAGTCTTTTTTTTGCCTAACAGTTCTGTAATCTCACTTTTCTCTTTATTCATGTTAAGGTTTCAGATCGGGTAGAGCGACGGCTTCAAGAAATACAAAGAGAGATGCGTACAGAAAGAGAGCTGGTGGAAAGACGGCAGGATCAACTGGGACTTATTTCTTTGCAGCTACAGGAGGTTTGTGAAAAATACCTTCTTGGAATGTAAATCTTGAGTTTTGGTGGTTATTTAGCTATTGTTAAAATCGTTATAATTCTTTAGTTGTTGCATGTGAAAGTATAGTTCAGTCTGTAGAAGTATAGCATATTGGTTATAGTTCATTGTGTGAAGACAAGCCTACCTGGTTCAAACCCAGAGTCTACGCCTTACTGGCTGTGTGACCTTGGGCAAGTTCCTTCACTTCTAGGCCCATTTCCTCTGTGGAAAATGGAAATAATAATAGTATTTACTTGATCACATTGGTGCAGGGGTAAATAAGTTAATGTGGGTAAAGCACTTAACGTAGTGTCTAGCATGTGCTGAATACATGTTAACTGGAAGTATAATTATTTGGATTAATTTTCTTTGGTGTGAACTAGACCAGGGGTAAACAAACTGGTCTATGGGCTGAATCTGTCCCATTGCCGATTTTTGTAAATAAAGTTTTATTGAAACGCAGCCACTCCCATTCATTTTCAGTTTGTCTGTGGGTGCTTTTGGGACACACCGTTGGCAGAGTTGAGATGTTGTGAAAAAGACCATATGGCCCACAAAGCTTAAAATTAGTATTGACTGGCCCTTTATAGAAAAAGTTTGCAGATCCCTGGCCTAGACTATCATCAAACCAATTCAAAACGGAGGTTACTTACACTTTAGGTAACCTGTTTATTTCGGAATTTTACACTTATGAAGAAGTTGAATAATTAGAACAAAGAATTTCTGTATATCCTTTACCTCGGTTCCCCCAGTATTCATATTTTACCAGACTTGCTTTATTGTTTTATATATGTATCTCCATATATATGTATATCTAAAAATTTTTTTGAGCTAGTTGTTGACATGATGTAAATACTTTTAAATCTAAATAATACAGTGTGTACATTCTCTTCTGTAGTCACAGGAAATTAACATTGGGTCAATACTATGATTTAACCTATAGGGTTTTTAAAAATTTTTTATTTTACATCTTTATTGGAGTATAATTGCTTTACAATGTTGTGTTAGTTTCTGCTGTATAACAGGGTGAATCAACTATATGTATACATATATCTCCATATCCCCTCCCTCTTGAGTCTCCCCCACCACCCTCCCTATCCCACCCCTCTAGTTGGTCACAAAGCACAGAGCTGATCTCCCTGTGCTATGTGGCTGATTCCCGTTAGCTATCTGTTTTATATTTGGTAGTGTATATATGTCAATGCAACTCTCTCACTTCATCCCATCTTACCCTTCCACCTCCCCATATCCTCAAGTCCATTCTGTACGTCTGTGTCTTTATTCCTGTCCTACCCCTAGGTTCATCAGAACCCTTCTTTTTCTTCTTTTTTTTAGTTTCCACATATATGTGTTAGCATATGGTATTTGTTTTTCTCTTTCTAACTTACTTCACTCTGTATGAGAGACTCTATGTCCATCCATCTCACTACAAATAACTCAATTTTGTTTCTTTTTATGGCTGAGTAATATTCCATTGTATATATGTGCCATATCTTTATTCATTCATCTGTTGATGGACACTTGGGTTGCTTCCATGTCCTGGCTATTGTAAATAGAGCTGCAATGAACATTTTGGTACGTGGCTCTTTTTGAATTATGGTTTTCTCAGTGTATATGCCCAGTAGTGGGATTTCTGGGTCACATGATAGTTCTATTTTAAGTTTTTTAAGGAACCTCCATACTACTCTCCATAGTGGCTGTATCAATTTACATTCCCACCAACAGTGCAAGAGGGTTTGCTTTCTTCCACACCCTCTCCAGGATTCACTGTTTGTAGATTTTTTGATGATGGCCATTCTTACTGTTGTGAGGTGATACCTCATTGTGGTTTTGATGTGCATTTCTCTAATGATTAGTGATGTTGAACATCCTTTCATGTGTTTGTTGGCAATCTGTATATCTTCTTTGGAGAAATGTCAGTTTAGGTCTTCTGCCCATTTTTGGATTGGGTTGTTTGTTTTTTTGATCTTGAGCCTGCATGAGCTGCTTGTAAATTTTGGAGAATAATCCTTTGTCAGTTGCTTTGTTTGCAAATGTTTCTCCCATTCTGAGGGCTGTCTTTTTGTCTTGTTTATGGTTTCCTTTGCTGTGCAGAAGCTTGTAAGTTTCACTAGGTCCCATTTGTTTATTTATTTATTTTTTTCCATTTGCCTAAGAGGTGGGTCAAAAAGGATCTTGCTGTGATTTATGTCAGAGTGTTCTGCCTATGTTTTCCTCTACGAGTTTTATAATGTCTGGCCTTATATTTAGGTCTTTAATCCATTTTGAGCTTATTTTTGTGTGTGGTCTTAGGACGTGTTCTAATTTCATTCTTTTACATATAGCTGCCCGGTTTTCCCAGCACCACTTATTGAAGAGGCTGTCTTTTCTACATTGTATATTCTTGCCTCCTTTCAAAGATAAGGTGACCATATGTGTGTTGGTTTATCTCTGGGTTTTCTATCCTGTTCCACTGATCTATGTTTCTGTTTTTGTGCCAGCACCATATTGTCTTGATTACTGTAGCTTTGTAGTATAGTCTGAAGTCTGGGAGCCTGATTCCTCCAGCTCCTTTTTTCTTTCTCAAGATTGCTTTGACTATTCGGGGTCTTTTGTGTTTGCATACAAGTTGTGAAATTGTTTGTTCTAGTTCTGTGGTAGTGGTAGTTTGATAGGGACTGCATTGAATCTGTAGAGTGCTTTGGGTAGTATAGTCATTTTCACAATGTTGATTCTTCCAATCCAAGAACATGGTATATCTCTCCATCTGTTGTATCATCTTTAATTTCTTTCATCAGTGTCTTAAAGTTTTCTGCATACAGGTCTTTTGTCTCCTTAGGTAGGTTTATTCCTAGGTATTTTATTCTTCTTGTTGCAGTGGTAAATGGGAGTATTTCCTTAATTTCACTTTCAGATTTTTCATCATTAGTGTATAGGAATGCAAGAGATTTCTGTGCATTAATTTTGTGTCCTGCTACTTTACCAAATTCATTGATTAGCTCTAGTAGTTTTCTGGTAGCATCTTTAGGATTCTCTATGTATAGTATCATGTCATCTGCAAACAGTGACAGTTTTACTTCTTCTTTTCCCATTTGGATTCCTTTTATTTCTTTTTTCTTCTCTGACTGCTGTGGCTAAAACTTCTAAAACTATGCTGAATAATAGTGGTAAGAGTGAGCAACCATGTCTTGTTCCTGATATTAAAGGAAATGGTTTCAATTTTTCACCATTGAGAACGATGTTGGCTGTGAGTTTGTCATATATGGCCTTTATTATGTTGAGGTAAGTTCCCTCTATGCCTACTTTCTGGAGCGTTTTTATCATAAATGGGTGTTGAATTTTGTCAAGCTTTTTCTGCATCTATTGAGATGATCATATGGTTTTTCTCCTTTGGTTTGTTAATATGGTGTATCACATTGATTGATTTGCCTATATTGAAGAATCCTTGCATTCCTTGGATAAACCCTACTTGATCATGGTGTAGGATCCTTTTAACGTGCTCTTGTATTCTATTAGCTAGTATTTTGTTGAGGATTTTTTCATCGATATTCATCAGTGATATTGGTCTGTAGTTTTCTTTTTTTTGTGAGGTCTTTGTCTGATTTTGGTATCAGGGTGATGGTGGCCTCGTAGAATGAGTTTGGGAGTGTTCCTCCCTCTGCTTTATTTTGGAAGAGTTTGAGAAGGATGGGTGTTAGCTCTTCTCTAAATGTTTGATAGAATTTGCCTGTGAAGCCATCTGGTCCTGGGCTTTTGTTTGTTGGAAGAGTTTTAATCACAGTTTCAATTTCAGTGCTTGATTGGTCTGTTTATATTTTCTCTTTCTTTGTGGTTCAGTCTCGGAAGCTTGTGCTTTTCTAAGAACTGGTCCATTTCTTCCAGGTTGTCCATTTTATTGGCATAGAGTTGCTTGTAGTAATCTCTCACGATCCTTTGTATTTCTGCAGTGTCAGTTGTTTCTTCTCCTTTTTCATTTCTAATTCTGTTGATTTGAGTCTTCTCCCTTTTTTTCTTGATGAGTCTGGCTAATGGTTATCAATTTTGTTTATCTTCTCAAAGAACCAGCTTTTAGTTTTATTGATCTTTGCTGTTGTTTCCTTCATTTCTTTTTCATTTATTTCTGATCTGATCTTTCTGATTTCTTTCCTTCTGCTAATTTTGGGGTTTTTTTGTTCTCTCTCTAATTGCTTTAGGTATAAGTTTAGGTTGTTTATTTGAGATTTTTCTTGTTTTTTGTTTGATGGGTTTTTACCTTGCTCCTCCTTCTGCTATGTGTTTGTCTGTCTTCTCAGTTTGCTTAACTTAGTGTGTTTTGTGTCTCCTTTTCTCAGTCTACAGGTTCATAGTTCCCGTTGGTATTGGTGTCTGCCCCCAGTGGCTAAGGTTGGTTCAGGGGCTTGTGTAGGCTTCTTGGTGGAGGGGACTGGTGCCTGTGTTCTGTTGGGTTGGGCTCGATCTTGTCTTTCTGGTGGGCGGGACCACATCCGGTGGTGTGTTTTGGGGTGTCTGTGAACTTGGTATGATTTTAGGCAGACTCTCTGCTAATGGGTGGGGTTGTGCTCCTATCTTGCTAGTTGTTTGGCATGGGGTGTCCAGCACTGGAGCTTGCTGGCTCTTGAGTAGAGCTGGGTCTTAGCATTGAGATGGAGGTCTCTGGGAGAGCTCTTGCTAATTGATATTACGTGGGGTCTGGAGGTCTCTCGTGGTCCAGTGTCCTTAACTTGGCTCTCCCACCTCAGAGGCTCAGACCTGACAGCAGTTTGGAGCACCAAGACCCTGTCTACCACACGGCTCAGAAGAAGAGGGAGAAAAACAGAAAGAAAAAATAAAATAATAAAAAAAATAAAATAATTAAAGTAAAATAATTATTAACATAAAAAATTAAGAAGTAAAGAAAGAAGAAGAGAGCAACGAAACCAATAAACAAATCCACCAATGATATCAAGTGCTAAAAACTATACTAAGACAAACATAAAAATCAGAAACAAGGCAGTCACAGACAG